TCCGGGGGAAAAACGCCGCTGGCTGGGGCCTTTGGTTTAAAATCCTCACGGAATGCGAGGCACCGGCGCTATGTGGAGGCCTGGCTGCGCGACGAGGAGGCCTTCGGAGGGCCCTGCGCGCTGCTGCCGCTGCTGCTGCACTGGGCCTCGCTGCCCCACCGCCCCGCCACACGACAAGCAGATGGCTTGAGCCCGGTGGCTGAGACGGGTTGAATGGGTTGGTTGGGTTAGTTTAACTAGTTTAGGGGGGGGGAGTTGGATGTTTCCCTGCTTGGTGGATTCCACCCGCAGCTTTCTCGGGGCTTGGGCCCCGAAATCGTTCAAAAAGCAAAACTAAGAAGTCGGCAACCCAAACCAAACCTGAGGTTTTTGGGTTTGGTTTGGGTCGCTACAAAATGTGAACACCACCTCACCCACTGGTGTCCAACCCCGGGTCTGATACCAAGGCGCTGATCTACGAGTTCTTGAGCTTCCGATTTCAGGCGCTGAACCTTGAGGCGGGGCTCGGGCGCTCGGGTACCACATGTGACTTTCATTTGAGGAAGCCACCAGGGATTCACGTTTTGTGGATTTCCCCTCGCCGTGAAAAAGCCCAACGACAGTCCAACTTTTTTGTCTTTTTTTTCTCCGGGCCCTTGATTTTAGCACCCAACATGTGTAGCTATCTGGATACTGGTTTGTTTAGTTTTGTTTGTTTTTTGCCGGTTTGTTCCCGAATGACCGTTCTAGAAGGGCTCTGGGGTCGGCATGTGTTCGCCAGATATGTCGGTGTGCCCGCAAGCGTCCGCCAGCGTGGCCTTTTGTTCCAATTCGTTGCAGGCAGCGCGCTAGAACTTTCCGCGCAGATTGCATGCGTGGCAGGCGCAGCACTTTGCACCTGACTCACTAATTGCACTTCAGGGCAGGCGCAGCACTTTGGAGCTTGTCATGCAGACTTGTCAGCTAGGTGAACAGGGGTTCGGCCAGTGTACAACTCTGGAACGTGGTTCATGCCGTTTTGGGTACACACAACCCTTACAAATTTGCATTGTTTGTGGGTGTTGGTCAAAACTTCAATTCTTAAAAAAACAAAAAGAGAAAAACACATTAGTTGGGATGGGGCATGAGCATCACTATGCAAAGGTCATAGCGTGACACACTGGAGAAAAAGGCAGCGCAACCTAGAGGGTTGGTTCCCACTTCTGATACCAAAAGGGTTGGTTCCCCTCATGAAAAATGAGTCATTGGCCATTGGTATCACAGACGCGGCTAGGAGTTGAAATTGGAAACCACTTCAAAATGAGTTGTGGACGCGAATATGTAGATTTTCGGGGGGCCCAAGAGTGGAGTGAGGAACCCCAAAGCCCAGGTGTTGGTGAACGGCTCGGCCGAGCACCTGGACGCTGCATACCGCCTGGCGGCGGAGCAGGGCCGCAGCGGCTGGCAGAACTTCCTGAAAAAGTTCCCCCGCGAGGCAACGCGTCGGTCGGCTGAGGGTGGCAGGGTGGAGTGGCCCAAAATTTGCACGTGGCTGGTTCGCAGTTCGCACCACGAGAAAGAAAAAGCACCGGGCATCAAAAAAGACAAAGCAAAAGGAGAGTGGGCGCTTGAACATGTTCCAGCAAGAGTGCCCAACCTGAGAAAGAGGCCGACGGGGTTTCTCCAAGCCTTAGAGGCGGGGGTCTCTGAGAGTGAGAGGTCTGGGAACTCGACATCGACCCTGTTTGGGATATGCAAGAATGCGTGCTCGCCCTAAGGGGGCCGAGCGAAGCGGTGTTTTTTTTTTTTCTTCGGGAAAAGTTGGGTTTCCAAAAGGAACTACTTACAATTGGAAAGTGCTGGTACGAAGGCCGAATGAGAGTTGCCCAGCAGCTTGTTTGCCGAAATAGCATCTCACCAGGGCCTGACCAACTCCAAATCAGCTTCGAAAAGCGTCCCATTCCATTAGCCCTCTTTGCAAAGGGCGCTCTCGCTTATTTTGGTCGGGCTCGTCTCAAAAGCAAACATATGTTCAAGAACGCAGGCCGGTGGGAGCTTGGGCAGGGTGTCATTCAAATTGGCCAACCAACCAGCCAAGCTGCCAGATTTGTTGAATGTATTTGAATAAGTGGCATGGATACATCCCCCTGCGCCGGAAATGCTATTGTAAATGGTTTGACGTGTTTCAATCGTTGAGCAAACCATTGTTTGCTTGTTTGCTTGGGATTGGAATTCGGAGATGCTTATGAGTAGCGAGAGTCCTAGAAGCTTTTTGGGTTCAAACAATTCGGTTCGATATCGTCGGCTGTTCGGTTCGCCTTTCAGGTGACGGCTCACTGGGATACTGGCAAGGAGGCAAGACGGAAGTTGCATGTTCCATTTGGGTCTGGTGATGTTGTTTCCATTGTGTGATGGATTTCAAAGGAACCTGACGTGCGATGGACCGTTGTTTTGTTTGGTTCGTTGATGGCGTTAGGTTCCAACCTTGGCACGAAACCTGCTTTTGATGTAAGGTTTCGTATTTAGGACGGCAGCCTTGTCCATTCTGCAAGCAGGGAACCCTTAGGGGCGGGGGGAAGTCCATGGCGCTGGCGAAGATTGTGCTGAAGCCTTACCTGGGTTGCTGAATATTTGGGGGATCCCTAGGCTGTATAACCAGTGGTGCGACACCACGGCAACATGTTTCCCACTACCGCCTCGCATGAGATTAAGGATTGCTTTTGAGTTAAAGTTCCATTTGGCTGAAGGACCAATTGCACGTAACATGTTCACCTACACAACATGTCCACATGCAACAATTGGTTGCCTCCCGGACATTGGTTTTGGGGCTGCATTTGGGCATCATTTGGGGTTGCCGTGTGCTCGGGGGAGAAGCAACAAATAAACATGGCTAAGGGAGGCGACGCAGTGCGCGAATCAATAGGAGTCGGGGTCAACATATTTGAAGTTCTGCCTCTAACTCATTTCGCAGACGGAGACTGCCACGCCCATGCAGAAACCACAAAACGGGAACGCTGCCGACACCCGCTGCAGTTTGAAGACACACGCAAATCTCACCTTAAACTGTGCCCAACCCCCCACCCCCCCCAGCGAGGTTCCAGATCTTGCCTTTCGGTGAGGTGCACTCAAACCGCAAGTGGAGAATGGACAATTCCGCAGGCTCCGATGCCCTGGATGCCTCCTATTTGAAGCAAGTCCTTCCCGGGCACTATTTAACGAGGTTGGTTCACTTGCTCCATATTATGTTGGCTCCATGGTTGTGGCAAATCGGGTTTGAGGGCCAAATGATTTTAATGACGCACCCGAAAGAAAATACGGTTTTGTGCGGTTCTGTTTTGAAACAAATGCAAATAGATACATACATACAAATGGCAACCAAGAGGGCATCAAAAAAGCACGCTTACCAATGGTTTTCCCTTTCAATGAACCTTACAACCCTCTCATATTGCGCGGGCGCCTGCAGGAGGGTTCCCATTTTGTTGTAGCAAAGGGGGAGCTCAGGAGACCCGAAGTACTACCAAACTCTCTGGGCAGAAATGGCTTGGTCAACGTTTGGGACCATTTTACTCTCCTGCATTTGTCGAGGAATCTCCTTTTGGCGGGGGGCTTTGGGGGGGGGGGGGGGGCGCGGGCTTTTTGTGCCCCATGTGGATTTTACAGAGGGGCATGTTATATATCTTTGCCCCCTACTGAAAAGAACAGAGAATCATGTTCTCACTTCCTGAGTTCATGGGCTTTGAACTTTTTGGGAAGCCCATTTTAGTGGCAAACCACAAGATTTTTTTTTGTTTTGGCCCATCAACGCGATCGGAAGTGAGTGGTTGTTTCATTCCATAGCTTCTCAACCACCCCGTATTTGGTGGTTTGGATTTGTGGTTTGGGGTTTGAACCATTTCCTGATTCTTGAAGAAGCTACATGGGGAAAACCCCAAACCATCCTTTTCGAGGGGGTACATGGGAAACCCCTCCACCAAACCTCCAAACCTCCCATCGGAGGGAAGCGCAGCTCTGAGCTTTCGGTGTGGAATCGGACAATCGCAGGGCGCCTGCAACCTCGGCTCCGAGCGTCTCTGGCGCATGGGCGGCTGGAACGCCGGCAGCCGATCCACGGCCATCGAGTGAGCGCGAGTTTCAGCGCGCGTTTCGGCGCGCGTGTTTCAGCCGTAGGTGCCTCGGGGGTGGCTTTCTCAATTGGATTCAAAGGGAAATTTTGTCCGTGCTTTGGATTTCCGTATTTTTGTTAGTCAAACCAAATTTGGCGGCTTCAGGTCAGCTTGGTTGGAAATCGAGGGGCTCCACTGGTTTCAGTTTGCTTTCCCATCGACCAGTGGTGCCATGTGTTTGTCCAAGGACCCTAAGGCGAGCGCACAGCTGGCTGGATCTGCCAACAGTTCGCAGCGCGAAAAGGGCGGGGATTTCTTTGCTCTCGCAGCAAACGAGGTTGGCCCAGATTTGCGTGTCTCAATTGATCTTTAGCATCAAACTCCGTGTTCTTTTGGGACTCGCTTGGCCACGTTCTGCAAAGGATCGACTGGAAGGAATTGGAGTAGTGCAGGTTCTCAGAAAGATTAGCCGGGTCCGTTTTTCAGGAACCAATGCTTGGACACTCTTGGGAGGCACTCACGAGAAATTATCATTTGGAGAGGCCCATATCTTAGGAAACACCCAAGTGCTGTTTGTTTGTTTGATATTTTTGGACCTCCGTTCTTCTGCATAGGTGTTACATGCACACAGGGTTGCAGTCCAGAAGCAGGCCCACCCAACCGACTGACTGACAAAACTTTCCCCGAATCCCTCCTTTACCTTGCACAGCCTATTGGAGCAGTTTGGGTTCGTCTGAGAATACGGGGGACCAATTGGCAGTGTTTTTGAATCACTCCCAAAGCGTGTACTTCCCCGACAAGGGCAAACGCGTATGTATAGTCCCATCATTGCACCACATAAGGCCACAAGTTAGGAACACAATTTTGCCTTGGGTGGTAGTGGTTGGGGGGTAGTGGACACCGTTTTAGAATATAAGGAGCGCTGTTGCTTCGCGTCAGGCTGCTGCTCGGGGACGAGATGGGCCTAGGGAAGACGGTCACTGCGCTGGCACTGGCGCGACACTTTGCCAAAGAGTCCCAGTTGCAACCAGCGGGTTTCGCCCTTGTTTCATTGTTTTTTTTTTGTTTAATATATTTTATATATTTATTAGTTGCGTGATGTGTTTTCCTTTGTTCGCGTGTGTTCATGTCTTGTCTGATTTCTCCCTGTTTAGTTTTCCATGTTTGTGTTTCTTTCCGTTGTAATTCCTCGTGGTTTCTTGCGTGTTTTCATTTTTGGTTGTTGTCCTTTCGTGTCCTTTGTTGGTTTCGTTTTGGTTGCTCCCTGTTCTGCTTCTTTTCTTTTTTGTTGTTGCCCTCCACTTTGCCATGGAACCCAATCGCTGACGTTTCTATGGCAACGTGGGCAGGGTAATGTTGACCCTATATTAATCAACCCCAGTTTATTAATAGGGGGTGCTTCTCCTTGGGTTTAGTCGGGAATCAGATCACTTTGCGAGGGGCCAAAAACCACCCGCCCCCGCATTGATCAACTGGTTGGTTATTCATCTGGGCTCTAGATTTGTGAGGGTTTGGACGATTCCCCCCTGTCACCTTCCGTGTGAATTGGTGGGAGGGTATGTCGAAGACTATATACGGTGGATGGTAGCAAAATCCAGAAATCGTACCACGAAATGAATCCATGATTGAAGCCATTGTTTGTTGGTATTTACACAGGAACAATCGAAAACGGGGGATTCCCCCCTGTCATGTTGTATGTTGAATTTTGTAAATATGCTCCATGTGAATTGGTATTTACACAGGAACCGGGGTTGGTTGCTTGATTCATTTGGGGTCAAACATTGTTTGTTCGGGTTTGATCTATTCGACTATTCCCTGTAAGGTTCCATGAGAATTGGTGAATTCCCAAAAAACCCTGTCAGGTTCCATGAGAATTGGTGGGAGGGTCGGTTCTCCTTTTCCCTTCGAAAGTCGCTTCCCACGAGGAGTGGCCCTGCCTCGTGCTGGCCCCGGCGCCCTTGTGCCGCGTTTGGCAGGAGCCGGGTTTCAACACGGCCGCTTGGTTCCAAGTGGCTGTGTGTTTTTTTGTTTTGGTGTTTGTTGTTTTTGTTTTTTGTTTTTTCTGGAGTTGGAGCCTTTGTAGGCTGCTTCAAATGAAAAGAAAAAGAACAGCGAATGGTGTTCTCTTCTTTTTGGGGTGGGGGCCTCCATTTTATTTTGACACATACCCAATTGGTTTGGATTGGTTTGGATTCGATTTCCACCGCTGCTTCTTGCTAGGGGAAGGGGAAACTACAAACCCCTAAACTCACCACCAATTCAATCCGTGAAAGCTTGGGTGAAGGTCGCTGAAGCGCAATGCTCTCGCAATCGGCGGACAAAAAAACCATCCACACAGGTATTAGGGAGGCTGTGCACGTTAGTTCCGGGTGTGCTGATGAGTTGGCCTGCGCGGATGTTCTGAACTTGTACGGCCGCCTCAGTCGTAGCTTCCATTTCGCCGGCGTAGATACTGTCTGCGGGTGCACGTGAGCAGGTGTGCTTGAGCGTCACCGCGCGGTTTTGTGTCTTGCAAGCGTGCGTGCTCACTACTTTTGTTAGCCAGCGCGGACGCTTTGTTGCGCTTTGTTGCGCTGATGATTTTACCTGCGCGGATACCTTGTGCGGGCGTGCATGAGCGGGTCTGGCTATCATTTGGACAGTGCAGATGCTGTCTTGTGCGGATACGCTTGTCATTTGGGCAGCCGCGGATGAAATCCTTCGCGGGCGCGCGACGCCCATTCGTGTGTGTGCGTGTGTGCGTGTGTGTGCGTGTGTGTGTGCGTGCGTGCGTGCGTGCGTGCGTGCGTGCGTGCGTGCGTGTGTGTGTGTGTGTGTGTGTGCGCGCGCGTTCTGTTAAGGCCCGTACTTTTTCCCGGTTGGTTCGAAAGAAAACCCCAACGGCAAACATGTGTTCGCTGACCAAACCACAATAATGAGCGCGCACGCTTGCAAGACAGAATTCGTGCGATCACGCTCTTTGCATTGTCGGTAGGCTCCTGGCCATAATGACATGCACCTGAGCAAGACAGCATCCGCGCTTTCCAATGAACAGCTGAGTGTGTTTGGCTTCAGATGATGAGATGGGCCTTCGTGTGGCGACAGCCGCATGAGCGAGCCATTGGGGAAGTTGCGCAAACAGCAAAGAGCTGTGCCGCCGAGTTTCTTGAGCTTGCGCCCTTGCTCGTCGATGCATTCACCTGCACTACCTCCCCGAAAGTATCGTTGACTTTTTGGGGAAACACCCCGTTCACCTGCACTAACAGGAGCGAAGTCATCCTTTTTGGATGTCCGAGGCGCATCTTGAGAAGCTTTGTTGCGCCCTTTGTTCGTGCGAAGACAAAAGTTTGCACGGCGCCTCGGTTTGGGCAAAGACCAGCGTCGGAGGCTTTCAAACAAAACAACTTTCAACTCGTGACAGCACCGGGGTCGCGTTGGAGGCACCGCTTTGTTGGTTGGTCTCCAAATGGGGTATCCGACTACTGGTGGTTCTCTTCAGTTGCCCGCTAAGAACAAAAAGGCATAATGGGGTCCTCTCGAGAGAAAAGACATTTATTTCTTCCGTGGCAAGTGGCTGGTCTGACAGGAGCATGCCCTCACTTGGCTGAACCTGAAGCCTGAGGAGGTGGTGGTGATCCGTTCCAGCAAGGAGTCTCGGTGTCGCCAGGTGAGCGCTTCGGAAAATCAGGGAGGCAGCCGGGTCACTGGGCCACTGAGAGGTCCCCAACAGAGGTTTCCCGTTTTCTACCCGGGTCAGATATCCTCAGGGTTTTGACCTGGTTCAATGGTTTTGTTCAATGGTTTTCCGAGTGGCACCCATTGTCCTTTTTGCTGCGGGTTATTTGGGTTCCGCCCAAAAGAATCATGCTTCTGGGCATGCTAAATACGAAGAGCATCGGAAGTATCATTTTTGGTGTACACCAGAGTTGGGCCATGGAAAATGAGCATTTCGTGAATAAGAAGCCATTTATGTCCGCTCGCTCCAGTGGTTCAATCAGTATCTTTGCAGACTCCATTTCAAGTGAGTGCCCTCCTGTTGCGGCTTCGTGTGTCAGGGGGCACATGGGGAATAGGGAACACTTAAAACAGGGGGGGGTCCCCTTTTGCACACTTGTAAAGGGAAGCCAAGCTCCACTTGTGTCCTGGTGACGTGCGCTTCCTTTGCGTTCAAATGAGTGTGCATGGTCATCGCCAAGGCTTTCAGACCATTGTAAGGGCTTCTAGGGCAGAGTTGGACTACAACCCTTACCCTCCCTCCCAACATGGAGGTGGTTGTCTCGGAGCTCAGTCTTCCAAAAGGTGCAGCTGTGCGCCAAACCATGTTTGTTAGCACCAGGAGGTGTGACTATGGCAGATATGGATCCAGCTTAGCCCCACCAAATAGCGCACAGACCCCCTTTAAAAGACTACTTTGCTCTTGTAAGGGTCCTGTCTTCGCTCTTTGTGGGTAGGGTGGCGCCATAGCCTCAGGACGTCGTTCCATCTTCTGCTCAGATGGTGGTGGTATCCTACACCCTCATCACGGCCGCCTGACCTCAGAGAAAGGGCATGGGAGGTCACTTCAGTGCGAGAACTGAGCATCTTGCGTGCGCAAAACGACATCTGGGTGTTGTTAAAGAGCCACTTCGACGCAACTTCAGTCAAATTACAGAAACTCGCTTGAAGCATGAGGGCCTGCTTGAATGAACTCTCCGCGACATCTGACTTTGGCTTGCTAGCATGGTTGCGGCTGAGCGTGCTGCGCTATTTGTGGCAAGTTCCCCTTCTGGCAAGGTAAGCTCACCCATGGTCAAACTTCCTTTCGGTTTGTGGACTGCAGCAATCATGCTGACCGTAGGGGGTTGGTGCGCTGGCTCCATGCATCGACGTGTTCGCACGGACGGGGCACGGACGGGAATGTTATGGTTGCGACCTTGTTCGGGAGACTCGCGCGCGTTGGGGGCCAGAAGACCCGAAGATGTTCATGGGTGTGGGGTGTGGAAGTCTGATCTGGCTTTTGACCACGTCATGTGTTTGACTTCCGAGTTGTCCTGCTGGGAATGGGTTTATGTGTGCGGAAATGCTTCTGCCAACCCGGGTCCGTTGGGTAGGAATGTTGGGGCATCAACTTTCCAGAGCAGCGCATACATTGCTAGCAGAAAGTCTTGAACTGCAACATCAAAGGGGTTGCCTTTCGAGATTTGCCGTTCAACCTCCCTTTGAGGAAAAGATGGGACTTTATGCGCGAATTTGTGTTTGTTCCTCAAAAGGGGGGTCGAAAGGCAAGAACTTGCTTATATTTGTATATCTCAGAATTTCCGTCATCGCCACCTTGGAAAACACAAAATAATCAAACATAACACGCCTGCGCTGAACATGACGTGTCTGAGGCTGACAGAGTGCAACAACCGGACAACCGCCCTTGCCTGCCTAAGGAGGAGCGGTTCCAGTGCAGGCACGACTCGAAGGATTACGCTGTGGTGATCCTTGACGATGCTTTGGCATACATGTGCTGCAGGCTTGCGCTGCGGAAGTTCAGGGTCCTTCTCAGACTACCTCATCGCCCTCCCAAGTGGAACTTGTTCTGACACTTAGGCCAAGAATCGGGGGTTGAGTTGAACGTCACATGTAGAAAGACCAACCTATGTTGCGAGTTGCCCTTTGGCGGAGCTCTGAGGGAAATGTCGGTACCTTGGGTTCAGCATCCCCCGCTACTGGAATTTGGGAGGGTTTAACCACCCGGCGTGGTGGCCACGTGCCAGAAATTGAATCGTTTGCTGGCACTCCTATCCCATGCCGTGCAGGTTGCCAGTTTAAGGAAGCCGAAACGGAATAGATATCTGCCTCAGGCTTTTTTCTCCATATCAGACCCTTTCTTTGGCAACCCGGTTGCAAAATAGACCTGGTCCTCCCCCCCTGTGCTCCGACTCGTCAAGTGACCTTCCCCACGAGTGTGGGGTAAGAGCCAAGGAGTGCCATATGCTTCGGGGCGCCAACTCCCAGCGCAGCAAGGCTCCTAGACAAATGTCTATGTTGGGGGAACGAACCCTTTTGGTTGGCTTTCAACTGGAAACAGCAAGAAGTCTATGCGCCCCGTTTGAAGACACACCCAAATGGTGTAATGCAAGTGGCCCTGGTAGACAAGAACCCAACAGGTTGCACCAAGTCACATGGAAGTAAATCCTCAGGGGGCTAGGAGTAGCGTTTGAAGGAACTGGTTGCCTCCCACTTTGATACCAGGCAAACTCTCTTTGGGCCTTCCACTCGATGGGAGCAATGCAATGCCTGGGTACCCCCAACACCCAGGTGCTGACATGGGCGGACTCCAGACGTGTTTTCTGTTTGACCCGACGGAAGGAAGGCAAATGCCCTATCTTTGGATCGATGCACACGTTGGGTCCTTGATGTTCAAATCTGGGAACATCATACCCGCCAAATGGCTGTTATCCTTCCAACATGGAAGCGCAAGACCCCTTTGGAAGACTACATTATAATTGACCTCCAAAAGAGCCACAAGCAAAATATGGCCAACAGCGGCGGTCGGCCAAACTCCAACCAGCCGTACCTTCACCCTGGCGAGCCCAAAGCCTACAGCCTCATAAGATCAAAGGAAGGACGTTTTCTTGCAGAGCCAAAACGGTTGTTCATTCCAAATGCCAAGCAGCCCCAAATTCCAGCTGGATAGGTCCCCGTCAGTTGCTTGCTTGCAGGTGTTCCTTCCAGAAACTTGCCACCAGGGCTCACTGGATCGATCTCGTCCGCTGCTCGCACGCGCGGTTCCCTGGCACTCGCCAGGCGGTTGGGCCCATCGCCAAGAGAGCCCGGCGAGTGCTGCTGCTCACGGGCACGCCGCTGGTGGCCCGATGTCAGGCCCATGGGGCTGGACCCACGGGGTCCACACGGCCGCGTTTCTTTTTTCGAGGGCGCCGCTTTTCTGTTTTTTCTTTGGCTTGGTTCAAAGGTAAGCCAGGAGAAAAAAACAAACATGTTGACTGATGTTTTTGTTGGTTGGCTTGAGGGAGGGGTGCAGAAAAAGACATGGGCCGAATCCTTTTATGCGGTTTTGACGGGGTACCTGGGGTTAGCTTCCTATCCATGTTTATCACCTGCTAAGCACCCAGAAAAGGGTGTTCCATCGGTGTTGCCTCTTTTCTTGTAGGTGGCTGTTGCATTGAAAAGGGCCAGCCCAAGTCAAAGATGGGCGATCCCCACCCCTTAAGAAAGGGTTGTTGTGCGGGGAGGATATTTGCAGATTGCCTAACTTGATCATGAGACCTTGGGCTTCAAGATTCCCACCCCCTATAGGGAGTTGGGTTTGCATCAAGGGGAATGTCCCATGGATTCCCTGGCGGCAGACCTTCGGTTCCCCAAAGGAACTCAACCCGAAAAGGGACACCAGGAAGCACAACCAAAGCATTTCAGGAACTTTTAAAGAAGGATGGCAGGTGTATTGTTTTGTTTGTCGAAATGAATACATACATTACCATGTTTTTGAATGGGTGTGTTTCTCTCTTCCTATGGGATAGAAACCCCACGAGCTTCGGTGTCCGCCACTTTGCCGGGTCCGGAGGTTCTCGTATCTTTTTTCCACTGAAAAGTGGAGGGGGGGGGTTGCAACTGTTTGCCCAGGGCTTCCCAGAATTTCACGGTAGCCAGCAGAGCATGGAAAGGTTTGAGCTGGGTTGCTGGGTGCAACAAGTTGAAGTCGTGAGGCGGCTTGGGGTCCCTCAGGTTGGCATGGGACAGGGGTTGAGATGGTTGCCGGAAAGGGTCGCTCAGGAAAGTGCTTCGCCGAACGTCCACGGAACTTTTGTCTTTCTCTTTCGCTACCTCCGCCACAAGATTCGATTTGATGAACGCTTCCATCGCCCAGGCATTTGTCAGGTTGGGGGACTTATTTCGGTTCAACTATTCGAAGGCAGGGGCTACCTTGCGCTATGCGGCCAACAGGTTTGGCAGCGAGGACCCACATGCCCGAGGATTTCATCTTCACCACAGTGTTCTCCTCATTTCAAGGCCTTTTGCTGTTGGGGATCTTGCTTGAAACGATGTTGCAGTTCAAGATTCGTCAAATGGGTTTGTCTCAAAATCTGGAACCCCCAAAATGCTGCTTTTCCTCTTCCTGTTCCTTTAAAACGCACTCAAAGGGGCAGCCTGAAAAAATGACACACCAAGATGTAGACCATTGGTTGGGGAGGCTGAAGGTGCGATCTTCTCTCTGGCCTTTGATTGGCATTTCAATCGCCGGTTTCAGCCGAAGGACGCCTATCCCCTGCTGAATGCGCTGCTTGCAGACTTCCCCAGCCCACAGGACCCGAGCTTGTGCCCACAAATGCTTCAGGCCAGGGGGGAGGAGTCCCAAGTTCAGACAATTGAGTTTACAATTCGCCCAGAGCCGTTTCTCCCTTTCTTTGCCTAGGTCGCCCGGTGGCGCCCTTTTTCCCTTTTTTGGGGGAGGCTTCCCCTGACAAAATCGGATACAGAAAAAAGGGTACTCTTTCTCTAACCTCTCTACTGGAGGACCTAGCCGCGATTGCGGGATGGTCGGCCCTTTTAACATGGTAACCGCTGCCGACTGCAAGGATTCCCAGTGCAGACAGCAGTCTGCACACCCCGCCCACCGTGCTATACTCCGCCTTGATTTTACAGCATTTTCCCGTGCAAGGCATTGCTTCGCGCGGGAAAGTTACCCCTGCACAATTTCATTTCCACTGGCTGAACTTATGCATGTGTTCTACTTGGCTGCCGTGGATGTGGTTGGAGTTGGTCTTGGCTTTAGGTTGGTTAAGGGTTGTTGTTGTTGTTGTTGTTGTTGTTGTTGTTGTTGTTGTTGTTGTTGTTGTTGTTGTTGTTGTTGTTGTTGTTGTTGTTGTTGTTGTTGTTGTTGTTGTTGTTGTTGTTGTTGTTGTTGTTGTTGTTGTTGTTGTTGTTGTTGTTGTTGTTGTTGTTGTTGTTGTTGTTGTTGTTGTTGTTGTTGTTGTTGTTGTTGTTGTTGTTGTTGTTGTTGTTGTTGTTGTTGTTGTTGTTGTTGTTGTTGTTGTTGTTGTTGTTGTTGTTGTTGTTGTTGTTGTTGTTGTTGTTGTTGTTGTTGTTGTTGTTGTTGTTGTTGTTGTTGTTGTTGTTGTTTGTTGTTGTTGTTGTTGTTGTTGTTGTTGTTGTTGTTGTTGTTGTTGTTGTTGTTGTTGTTGTTGTTGTTGTTGTTGTTGTTGTTGTTGTTGTTGTTTGTTGTTTGTTGTTTGTTGTTTGTTGTTTGTTGTTTGTTGTTTGTTGTTTGTTGTTTGTTGTTTGTTGTTTGTTGTTTGTTGTTTGTTGTTTGTTGTTTGTTGTTTGTTGTGTTGTTGTTGTTGTTGTTTTGTTGTGTTGTTGTTTGTTGTTTGTTGTTTGTTGTTTGTTGTTTGTTGTTTGTTGTTTGTTGTTTGTTGTTTGTTGTTTGTTGTTTGTTGTTTGTTGTTTGTTGTTTGTTGTTTGTTGTTTGTTGTTTGTTGTTTGTTGTTCCCTCCGATGGGGTGTTTCCGCGCGCTTTTCGCGTTTCGTTTCCCACTGTAAACAAGGGTTTCAGGGCCATTTTTGACGACCTGCGCGCGGGTTTGGAGCAGTGGGCGTATGTTGCGTTCACGGGCACACTTTCATGACTGAGCGCACGCCTGCCACATGATAAGCACCCACATTGACGCACGCATTATCATCATTGCGTGCATGCACACATTATCATCATTGCACACATTATCATCATTGCGTGCGTGCCTGCCACATGATCAGCATCCACGTTCACGCACACATTATCATCATTGCACACATTATCATCGTTGCGTGCATGCGCGCATTATCATCATTGCACACATTATCATCATTGCGTACATGCCTGCCACATGATCAGCATCCACGTTCACGCGCACATTATCATCGTTGCGTGCATGCCTGCCACATGATCAGCATCCACGTTCACGCACACATTATCATCGTTGCGTGCATGTCTGCCACATGATCAGCATCCACGTTCACGCACGCATTATCATCATTGCGTGCATGCCTGCCACATGATCAGCGCCCACGTTCACGCACACATTATCATCGTTGCGTGCATGCCTGCCACATGCTCAGCATCCGCGTTCACGCACACATTATCATCATTGCGTGCATGCCTGCCACTTGATCAGCATCCACGTTCACGCACACATTATCATCATTGCCCCAAGGGCATATTTGAACATCGATGAAAACAAGCAGCGTCTGTGGGCGTAAAAACCCCAAGACGCATTGAACAGACAGAAAACTCTGGACCGAAAAACCGCGCGGTGAGAGCCCATCGAAGCGTTGTTGTTGTTGTTGTTGTTGTTGTTGTTGTTGTTGTTGTTGTTGTTGTTGTTGTTGTTGTTGTTGTTGTTGTTGTTGTTGTTGTTGTTGTTGTTGTTGTTGTTGTTGTTGTTGTTGTTGTTGTTGTTGTTGTTGTTGTTGTTGTTGTTGTTGTTGTTGTTGTTGTTGTTGTTGTTGTTGTTGTTGTTGTTGTTGTTGTTGTTGTTGTTGTTGTTGTTGTTGTTGTTGTTGTTGTTGTTGTTGTTGTTGTTGTTTGTTGTTGTTGTTGTTGTTGTTGTTGTTGTTGTTGTTGTTGTTGTTGTTGTTGTTGTTGTTGTTGTTGTTGTTGTTGTTGTTGTTGTTGTTGTTGTTGTTGTTGTTGTTGTTGTTGTTGTTGTTGTTGTTGTTGTTGTTGTTGTTGTTGTTGTTGTTGTTGTTGTTGTTGTTGTTGTTGTTGTTGTTGTTGTTGTTGTTGTTGTTGTTGTTGTTGTTGTTGTTGTTGTTGTTGTTGTTGTTGTTGTTGTTGTTGTTGTTGTTGTTGTTGTTGTTGTTGTTGTTGTTGTTGTTGTTGTTGTTGTTGTTGTTGTTGTTGTTGTTGTTGTTGTTGTTGTTGTTGTTGTTGTTGTTGTTGTTGTTGTTGTTGTTGTTGTTGTTGTTGTTGTTGTTGTTTGTTGTTGTTGTTGTTGTTGTTGTTGTTGTTGTTGTTGTTGTTGTTGTTGTTGTTGTTGTTGTTGTTGTTGTTGTTGTTGTTGTTGTTGTTGTTGTTGTTGTTGTTGTTGTTGTTGTTGTTGTTGTTGTTGTTGTTGTTGTTGTTGTTGTTGTTGTTGTTGTTGTTGTTGTTGTTGTTGTTGTTGTTGTGTTTTTTGTTCGAGTGAGTTTAGTGTTGTTTGTTTAATATTTATACATGTGTATATATATGTATTATTCATCATAAACAACATATGAAACATATACGAACATGTTTGCCAACCCAACAAATAACAAACACAAACATCTACGTTGCATTTTTTGGAGTATGGCACCCATGGCCGATCTGCGGCTCCCTTGGCTCAGCAGATCGAGGACTTCGCGAAGCGCTTCACGGAGGCGTCGCGGCTCCGGGAGCTGCACGTGCTGCTGACGGCGGTGATGCTGCGCAGGACCAAGGCGCGGCGGAAGCGACGCTTCCGGAAGCGACGGTTGAAGCGACAGGATCGGAGGAAGCGGAAGCAAGCCGTGGGACACAAAAACGCCACGTGGTTTGGCCCCGGTAATGGGAAACCAACAGGCGCATAGGTGTCCTTTTTGCTTGTTTTTTGCTAGAAAAATAGATGGCGATTCAGGGCCATCTATTTCCCCTAAAAGGACACCTATGGTCGGGATGCGACAGTGAGGTCGGTTTTGTCCGGACCCCGGATCAAGACTTGAAGACCCTGGTCAAACAATAGGGGTTGTTCCTTTGAGAGGGTCTCCCTCTGCTTCCAGAATCAATCGCAATATGCGTGGTTGGTGGCAAAAGTCGAGGTAGAAAGCACGGGTGGTCGGGAAGGTCATCACCCCCTGCTTCCGAGCAAGCAGAAGCCATGCCCCTTTTTGGGAGCCGGACTTTTTCTCCCGCACGGAATCAGAACATTTGTTCTTGTTTGCGCTGGATGCGGGCGTCGCAGGAGAACACCCTGCAACAATTGCCTCCGAAGCGACGCCAGCGAGTTGTGCTGGACATGTCTCCACCTCCGCCGTCGGAGGAGACATGACAGTCGACAGGGGCGCTTACAGGATACCTCACGTGTTCCCTCTTGGATGTCTTGAGGGACAAGTCAAGTATGGCTGGCAGGATACGACTTTGAGACAAGGGCAAAATTGCGAGCTGCTAGATTTTTTTGAGGGCAGTTCAAAGATCCCTTTCACCGGCTGACTTCGAGGATCCCAAGAAAAGGATATGGTTTGATGATTCTGGATGTATCCAGGCCCTTGAGCCCCCATGGATCTCAGTTTGATTGCTCAAAGGCGACCCTGAATCCGCAATTTGACGATTTGCGTGGGGAATGTTCAGATGAATGACATAGACACCTCTGGAATGGTTTCCCACTTGTTGTTGAGGATTGGGATGGGTCACCGCTCATTTGGAGCATCCAGTGAGTGCCAACGTGGTCCACATACGCTGATGCACTGGGGTTGCAAGCTTGGGAGGTAATTTTTGGCAAGCCGCGTCTTGCATCCGATGTTTGGCCCACTGGTCCAATCGTGGGGGCCAGACTTCCAATGCCACTGTGAACATCGGTGCGTGTGCCCCTTTCCCACTTGCCGAAGCCAAACAGGGACTGACCGTGGCAACTGTATCCGCCCTTCGGCCTTTTGCACTCGTCCATGGCCAGGACGAGGTCGAGGAGCAATGTTCAAGGCGTTTTTTTTTGTGGGAGAGAGGCCATGCCCAAGGCCCAAGAAGGCAGACTCCCCTCTCGGCGTGTCTCCACTGGGAGCCTCTGAGGTGAGCTTATTCCCAGTGGGTTCCTTTCCCTCGGGCGGGGCCTTTTATGTGGGAGTGTCTGAACAAAAAAACCGTGTTATTCCCTTTTGTTGCCCTTTAACCCCACACCCCAGAAGGTGCTTTGCTTCATGAGAAATCACGAGACATGTGTGGGAACCGGCTTGCGGTAAGTTGATAAGTTGATCCAACTACTCGCCGTGAATGATTGACAACAAGGACTATCATGGGCCATGAACTTCCCATGTCGCCCCTTTGTCATGCAGCAGGTTGGACCACAGAATCCAAGAAAAGCATGGGCCTAGCCTTTTTCCAAGATCCCTCGCGTGACATGGTATTCCTGTCGAGAGAATGGCCTTGCAAGAAACCGATACTTGATCAAAGCCGACATGTTGTTCTGGTGTTCAGTTCTCAGACTGAATGGACACCGCTGCGTTTGGCCCAACCTTACCATGCTCTTCAAGCGGCCCGGATCCGCATCAGCAATGGTGGACAAATATGTACGTAGGCTTCATAGGCTCCAAAACCCCCATGAGAACTTAAACATGTCCTGGGTCTGAGCGAGGGGGAGACAACCGGCCCCAGAAGGATGCTTCGTTTCGACCTGTCGATTGGTTTAGGCGCATGAGCTCTTCGTCTTTATCAACCAGCATATTCGGGCCATTTCGGACCTGTAGGTAAATCATACAGAGCCTGCCCCCTCAACGATGACATCTTGGTACCTCCTTGAACCCAATATCCTATAGCTGCTTCATTCCCCCAAAGGGCACCAACAGCAGGTGAAGTTGTTTGTTTTTGTGTGAGGACCCTTTTTTTGGCTCCCCTTCAGCCAATTTGGAGCCCGTTTTTGCATGGGGTCCCCCAACAGGAGGTTCTAAGCATGGATGCTTTTTGTTAGATCAATGTTGACCAGGCAATCCCCGAGAGCCGGTGAGGCTTGCAAAGAGCAAGGCTGCGGCGGTGGCGGAGTACATGGGATGCCTCACCGCGTCCGGCGTGCCTTGGGATGGGCTGTGGGAAATGGAGCCAGCCCTTGTGTTGGGCTGTCGAAATTCCTGGCTCGTGGGTTTCTGTGAAGACGCAGATAAGTGTTGGATATTCAGGGGGGCCGTTGTACATACATGTTGCGTGGTTTTCCTTGGTTGGCAACATAAAGGCACTGGGAAACAATCGAGCCCTCATTGCAGTCAAGAAAAAGGGGAAACCAAGATATGATTGGCACTGTCTTAATTTTTCCAGACGCCCTAGGCCTTACGCCCCGCTCCGAGCTGCGTTCCCCGAGCCAGCAATGTGTGTTGTTGACATACCCATTGCGTTGGCAAACTTCAACACCATGTGTTTGGTTTGGCCATTCCACTCATGTCATTTGTTACCCCTCTTTTTCAGGGAAAAAACCACTTGGAAACACCCAGCAATCATTTCGGCAACCCATCGGGGTCCTCGACATCCAAACCCTTCTAGCCACCCCCAAATGTTGAATTCTCGGTGGCGTTTGTTGTGGAAACATCATGAATCATGCCCCCAAAAAGCTTAAAGATCCGAGCAAATAGCAAACCGCCAAGGAATCATGCCTGCAAAGAGCCTAAAGATCCGAAGCAGAAAACCGCCCGGAAACCGCCCTACCCACAAAGAAGAACATGTCTCAAGCCAGGTGCGGTTCCTGGTCTTCGCCCACCACCTCGCCATGTTGGACTCCCTCGAGGCCTTCCTGCGAACCCAGGCCAGTCCGCTTGGATGGCGCCTTGGTGTTGTTTAATTTGTCTAGGTAGTGCCCTTTTACCCCTTCTTTTTTTTTGGGGGGGGGTCTCCCTACTAAACAGAGTACAGAAAAAAGGGTACCCTTATTCTAACCTCTCTACTGGAGGACCTTGTATGTGTTTCATGGTTCACGTTTCCCCTGTTGGTTTTAAAGAAAAACGATGACTACTGGAGATATGTTGAGTTTTTGCGGGGGGGCTTGAGCAAATGGAGAAAAGTCACAAGAGCACTATTATTATTGTTATTATTATTATTTAATTATATATATATATATGTATTATTTTGTTTGGGGGGTGCTAGGTTAAGGCAAACCCGCTTTTCAAGAATGGATGGACAACATCCACTTTGTACCAGCTTGCGAGTCGTTTATTTGAGGTTCCCACAACAAGGTTTGTTTAGACGATACTGTGGATGAACGAGCTCGTGGACAACACCCGTCCAAGCGCCACTAAAACAATGGGGACAAATACATCCACCATTGTTTACCTAAATTGGGGCAAGCAAAGCATTCGTGGGTTTGGACGTTGGGGCTGCATTGAAGATGTAACAAACAGCCCGAAGGCCGTGCCCTACATCCGCATCGACGGCTCCACCCCAATGGCCCAGAGGTCCAGGCGCGCGGGCAGCGAGCGCAGGCGAGCACACGAAGAACGGCCGAAGAAATTCGGCCAGGGTTATCCCCTGCCAAGACTGGGTTCCTTAAGGGATGCATGTTGCAGAAAGAAGGCGCCTTTGTCAGCTGATTTTTTACGGTTTTAACATGTACCAGGGGACAGATGACGGTTTTTTGAGTTTCATGTCATCTTTGTTTGCAGAAGAGCATCTCCCCCATCCATGCGACCACCCTCAAACGCAGGTATGTAGACGCCTTCCAGCAGAATCAGGATGTGCAGGCGGAGCCGAGACTGGCGTTTGAAGTGTACGGTCACAGAAAAGCGAACGGTCCCGGTACGGGGAATATGTATCAGTCCCGTATCAAGTGGCATTTTCAGGTATGGGTTTTGGAGATGTGGGCTAGTACGACGCCCCATGACCCCTTATACAACTGGTTCCAGAAGCACCATCCTTAAAATCGTACCTGGAGATGTTATTGACACAAGCTCTTTCTGACAAGGTCCCCATTCTGAATTGCATTGCGCTCATCGGCACATCACGTGGCAGGCGATCAGATAGAACCTTTGTAAATGAATGAGGGGTCCGCTTCACCGTGGTCAAGATTGCAAGGCTTGCGAGTGCTCTAAAATCATGCATCGCTTTGCTTGTCACTGTGTCCAAACTCGCGTAGCGCAAACATACACATCGGAATGGGGCTGTCTTCGAGCTGTAGTTGTTCCTATGCAACTCCGCTCTTGCCGGCGTCATTTTCTGCAAGAAGTCACGCAAACAGGAAAGCCGAAGTGGAAAGGATGTGAAAGGATAAGTTTTGGATGATGCGAGGTTTTCTTGAGCAAGCTTAATTTTTGACTTTCTGACACATTCCTGGATTGGCTCTTTCGCTCGGCCGCACTCACTTCTAACTTCTCGATCAAAAGTTCCGTCTCCCCGATAGCTATCAAAGATTCGTTTTTGAACCAGTCTGTTGAACCAACCACTAAGGTGAGTCCCACATTGGACTTTCTTCTATCTGGGGTCTCCTCCAAGATTATTTCTGAGATCTCCTCCTACACTATTTCCATTTTTTTGGTGGCATGGGTGGGCAATGTATGAAACACACTCGAAGCATGATCTGAGCATATTTTTCTGTGTGCCCCACATGTGGGCCAAGATTTCCTTGGGTTGGCTGAATATAAAGCATAATCTGACAATAGCAAATGCTCGGCCTGGAGAACCGGCGGTCCTCACTCAGGACTTTGCTAATCAGGCTGGTTTTCGGACGTGTCTTCCATGCTCATGTTTGCACTCGTTTCACGTAGGGGGCGGCTTAGTTTTGGTAAAGCGTGATTTATTATCAGGGTGGGGTGCTTTTGTGAAGGGACGGTAAGGATCGGCCTTTAGTGTGTTAAGTGAGGTTGTGCAAAAATCCGCTTGACTTCAATTTAGTATCCAAGAATGCCACATTGCACGCAAAACAAGAAGGATAACAAAAGCAATAGCGATCGAAAAGCACAGCTTGTTGGGTAGCAAACTGGCCAGACTTGTTAGCTGAGCAAAAACGATAACAAACACGATAGCGTTCTGCACCCAACAAATTGCCTGTGTGCAGGCCAAGCTGCACATCCACATGTTTTCCGAGTGCAGCTGCTGAACAGTTGCGATTTTCAAGCTGGCACTACACTGGTACTCAAAAGTTGCGATATTCGAGGGAGTTGCCAAACTATACTTTTTTGCCATGCACATGTACTGACAAGAAGACATTTTTAAGCTGGAGCTCGTGTACTGCATGTGTACTGAAAAGTTGTGATTTTCGAGCTGGAACTGTGTGTGTGTGTGTGCTGTACATGTGCTGTTTAACGGTTGGGATCTTCAAGTTGGAGCGTCTAAAGGGTGGAGCTGCCAAAGTGCACATCGTGTACTGCACTGGCACTAAAAGGGCAATTCCGAGCTTGAAATACCTAGCACACCAAGCGCAGTAACACACTAAGGAGTTCAGAAACACGACAGCCCCAAAACCAAACACCTTTAAAGCAACAGAGTTTCCGCACAGCCTGAAGCTTTGTTCGCCCCGAAGGCGGAGATGTAATCACCAGCGGCCGTGTTGTTTTGGATACCTCCATGCCAGGGCACGCAATCTGCTTTTGCAGGTAGGCCCTATCGAAGTCTTGTAGCTGCGTCGACTATTGATCTTGTGTCTACACTATATGTATGTTTTTTTTGTATACGCAACATGTTTGTCGGCACATACACAGGTTGACATACCCCGTTCGCTTTCGTTGATGTGCAGAATCCTGCACCAGTTGGGGTGGCGGAAGCTCAATACATACTAGTGACCGTGATTTTTGACCATAGCCCATTTTCCGATATCTTTTTTTGTTGGGGCTCCGCTTGATCTGCCCATCTTTTTGGCGCTCCTTTGGTTGGCAAAACTCCGAAAGGCGGAGAAAGGAGCACCGCTAAGATCTCCGAGGTGGCTCTCTTGTCGCTGACGGCGTGCAGCCAGGGCATCACGCTGAACTCTGCCTCTGTGGTGCTCTTTGCGGAGTGCCCGGGGAAGACGGGTGGACATGGGTGAAGCAAACAGGTTTGTGTCAATAGGAGCCCCTCGTTTGGATGGTTTTCCAAAGGGGCCCCAATGCCTGGAATGATGTCCCCTTCCTAGTTCTCCCTCATATGCTTCCATCTTTCCACACAGCCTTAGTTGCTGCCATTTTTGGGGAGGGGTTTACCATTTTGGGGGATTGGATTGCCTTCATCAAGCCAGGCCCAACCCCCGGGCTCCGATCCTAAGGCCCCTCCCCTCCAAACCCTCCAGTCAAAACTTGAAAATGAGAAGCCAAGGAAGATGTTCTCACTGGGGCCTCCTCCCAGTCTTGGGGTTGTCTGAAATAGGAAGTTGTCTGAAGTAGGAAGCAGGAACAGAACGGTTTATTGCCTGTACCGCAAAACATGTTGGCGAATGGTGGTTTACAGGTGCGTTGGACAAATATCGAGCTCAACGTGTTGCTCGGGGAGGGAAAACCAGGAGCTCAACGTGCCGCTGGTGCCAGCAAGTGTTTATGCTTGAAAGAACCCAGGAGCTGGCTCGGGGAGGGAAACCCCGGACTCGGCTCTCATTTGTTTAGGCTCCATCATTGAACCATCCTGCCAGCCATTATTAAATACATTTCTTTTGGTGGGACGCGCTGGGGCGTGCCGCTGTTGAAATTTGCTTCTTGGCAGCCCGGACCAGCAAAGCTTTAAAGCCACTCCACGGCTGGAGTTTGAGCCAAGATGAAGCTCCTCAAATCCTGTGGTGCGACCTCATGCAGGCCCCTTAGTCCTTTTTTTCAGGTTGAACTATAGACCACCCCAGATTGCGTTGGGTGCGGAGTTTTGGTGATTCAGGCCCTTGGATAAGAATCCGTTTCGAACCTGAATCCTCAGGCTCAGATTCAAGGTCTGCGGTTTCTTTCCAGGTGGGTTCCACTGGTTCCAGTCTGCTTCGGGTTCGTTTTCTCACGGCCAAAAAGTCAACTTCGGAGCAATTGGCGGGTTAGTGACTTATAGGTTGGGGGGCATTTGGTCATTTGGGTATGTGTCAGAATGGGATTGGCCGAAACTGCATGTATCTTGCCTTTTGGTTTGCTGGTTTGCTCCGGGACTTGTCCAGCGTTTGGTCGGCCGTTTTAGTGGCCAACAACAAGTTTGAGCATGGGCTGGTTTTGTTGTTTTTGGGCTTGGAAGTGGACATCAAGGTCCCGGCACTTTTTTGACTCAGCTGGGGGTAATTATGTTGTTTGTTGCTAGGCCTGTTGTTTTTTGTGTTCCGTTTGGCTCCCCGGCTCCTCGGTTGGTTGGGTGGTTACACAAGGAGCTCTTCTGGGTGCCCGGCGTCCTCCTACAGGCTGAGGACGGGCAGTCCGGTGCAAAGAGAAAAAACTCGGGGCTTCTGCGTTTTTGGTTGGGCCCACTGAAAATCACCGGTTTTGTTTGGAACATATCTTTGTCGCGCTCGCTTTCTTGGATCCACTTGGGGTCTTCGAAGCCATGCTGTTGATTTAGCATATTAGTGATTTCACTAAGTTGCCATGGCCCATTTTTTGTGGGGGGGGAGGCAAAAGGGACCAAAGGGGGATTGCGGGATCTCGATCTACAAGCTTTACCGGGACACTTTGACAACCATCCGAAACACTCCATGTGTCCGAAATCTGGGCTGCAACGTGTTTGCGCTGTTTGGCAGCTTGTTCATTTCCGGCGCCTACGATTTAACATGTGGAGGGTGGGCCTGGCTGAAGGCATCCGGGCCGTGTACTACCATATCTAATTTTCAGGTTGCTTGGCCCGGGCCGGGCTCCGCAGGAATGAAATCTGCGTCCAGCAACGAACACAAGGCTGCCATTTCCCCCACGGGATTCCGCGCTTCGAAGCCTCCCAGGATCGCGCGCACCGGCTGGGCCAGGACTGGGCTGTCTTGGGGGGGTGCCAAAAAGAGCCGCAGCGAATGGCTTGCAGAGAGAAGCAGGAAGTGGACACGCCCTAAATGTGCATGCAACTTGTCCGGGCCACGTAATTCGAACCGGCCATTCTGAGAGAGAGCCAAGCAACAGAAAGTGGGCATGTGCGTTTGGTCACCGGGCTCGTATTCATTTCTACTTGGTTCTGCTTGGCACTGCTCTCAGTTGGCTTAGCGTTCCTCTGGGTGTCTGATTGATGCTACCAGTTCCGTGTTTGCTGCCCTTGCCGTCAGGTGGGGCGCACGTTTGGGGCCACACTTTTTTGCAATGCGGTTCTTCATTCGCTCGCCCTGTTCGATGCCAAGGCCATAGAAACGGGGGCCCTGAAACGGCGACGAAAACGAGGTCTGATTTTTGCGGAGTCGCGTAGAGGTTTGGGGCCGCTGAATGCTTGGATGTTTCTAGAAAACGGCCATTCAAGCAGGCAGCACATGAAACCAGCATGAGCGGCAAGACCGAAATCAGGATGTGGCTGCTTATGAAACAATGCCAGCCCGAGCCTGGCAACGGCAACGGCAGTGAACTGCAGAGTATCCATCTGAACCCGAAAGTCAGCTACTTCCGCCATGTGTAGTTTGTACCCCACCGTTGCCTGCAGCAAGCTCATCCTACAGCTTGCCGTCTTCCTGCGGAGGATGTTGGCGAGGCCATCAGGGCCTCCCGAAACACCGCAAGACACCGTGAAGTGTCCGTGGCTGTTTCTTCCCCCGGGCCCTCACTTGAAATCACCCTCATTTGCAACTGGTTGAGGTTGCCATTAAACGACCCCATCTATTTTCCTGTACCGAACAACTCGACTGTTGGTACAAGTGCTACAGCGAATAAAAGGGTTGAACCTGGGGATTTGGCTCAGTTGCCTACGTTTGGAGGTCCCTTCCGGCATGCGCATGCAGTGCAGGATGAACATCCATGTTAGTAATATTGCATATTGACTTGGATGGGCCGTAGCGGGAGGCAGAGCAGCCGGACGCCGAATGCTAGCGATCGTCATGAACCATTAACCAAGAACCGTTCAGAGACGTGACCTAGCTATGCCTGCCCTTTATACATTTGGATGGCCCTGAATGCTCTCCTGAGATGTTCAACTGGTATGACAGAACGAAGCCCATTTTTTGGAACCATGAGCAGTGGCTTTTTGGATTTGCCCAAAACAGTCACCATGCGCCGAATTACCCTCTCTCCTTCAAGCACCCTTCAGCTCCCATGATGGTGGAAAAGAGGACGAGGCACACGTTTCCCTTGCTTTGCTTCAGCTGTGCCCAGTCACCACGCGCATGGGCGTATGGAGGCTACCCTTGGCCGGCACAGAAATCAACAGGAAACCACCCCTGGGGGGGGACATATCAAAGTTCGCTGTCAGGCGAGCATGGTCAACGTTCACTACTTGGTCGCGCCTGGCAGCGCAGCTCGGCACCCTCGCGCAGAACCCGCGCGACGGGTAAAAGGAGCTCGCTATGTAGGTCCTTGGGGATCAGGTTTGGAATTTTGTGAAGAAATGCAAATGCGCAAATGGATGCTGTGGCAAGCCGTTGCAAATGATGGCTTCCGTGTTGTGGGGGTGTACGTACCTCAAAATGTGGAGAACGCAGCTTCGGTTCTTTCGGCGTGTCTCAAAAGACTCCCACGAGGTGCGATTTCCGATGTTCCTTTGGGTTTCCCTTAGTTTCTCTCAAATCCTTAAAGATTGCCCCCAGGAAGGGTGCCCCAACCAAGAGACGCCCAGGCATTGTTGAAGAAAATCTTCTGAAGCTGGGGACTGTGGGTTGTTGTTGGCTGGGGTCTCAAGCAGGCAGCCGACAAGCTGACCTTATTGGCCTTTGCCTGATGGTGCCAACTCTGACTTGTCCTATGGCACTTCTATGCAAGCCAGCCCTTTGAATGGTTTTCAGGGCATCCCCCACCAATTGGGAAAAGCGTTTCGAAGGGACGCTGTGTTTGGCCAGTGAGCAAACTTGGCTCAAACAAACAGGCTCTTGCCCTGCAACATGTTTGCTGCTTTCTCCCTTGTTTAAAACGTCTGCCTCGACTAAAGGGTGTGTTTGTGTGTGTTTGTGTGGGCTTCTTTTCGGGGAAGCGTCTTCGGCTGGAAATTGGGTGTTCGACCACCAATTCCGACCTTCAATCGCAGGTTGACCCCATGGTTTTGGTATAAGTCAACCTTGCTGGAGCCAAGCCCTGCGTTGACGTATTTCACCCTGCAATTCCATTGTTCCCTGGTGAAATCTCGAAATAACTGGGATGGCCCTGGATGAGGGCAAACTGCCTGACCACCAAGCAATGTTCCCAGATGTTCCTCACTTAGTTTCTGAGATGGCGTGGTTTTCGTTTCAACAGCATGTTGCCTTTGATACCCCTAATGCGTTGCAACTGGCCAGCGGTAGAAACCTCAAACAAGGATTTGGTATGAAACCTCGGGCCCAAAAATGCTCCGCATTTGCGGCACACCGACAAGCACTTTTGTGTCTGTGTGCCCTTGCCCGGCCCGGTCGGGGCTGGCTGCAGGGCCGGCTACAAAACCTCCTTCCTCCCCCGGCCCAAGTTGCATTGTCCGTGAAGCTGCGTCTATTTCCGTGAGTGTTGAGGCAGCGCGCCTCATACAAGTCTGCAGGGAGGGTCAGCCTTGGCAATACTTAAGTAGAATTGGCAATACTAAAGTAAGTACTGGGAATCTGAGGGTCAGCCTTGGCAATACTTAAGTAGAATTGGCAATACTAAAGTAAGTACTGGGAATCTGAGGGTCGGCCTTGGCAATACTCAAGTAGAATTGGCAATACTAAAGTAAGTACTGGGAATCTGAGGGTCAGCCTTGGCAATTCTAAAGTAGAATTGGCAATAATTACTAAAGTAAGTACTGGGAATCTGAGGGTCAGCCTTGGCAATACTTAAGTAGAATTGGCAATACTAAAGTAAGCACTGGGAATCTGAGGGTCAGCCTTGGCAATACTAAAAGTCAGGGGAAACAGCCGGATTTACAATTTTGCCTTGGCTGTTGCGGTTGTCTTCGCATCGGTGGGCTCTCCCCCCCGGCAAGATCCCCTGCAAAGTGGTACTTGCAGGGCGCCAATCAGGAAATAGAATGCGCGGAATGCCTCTAAAAGTTCAATGCAGAGGGTGTCGCCATGACGGGTGCTTTCGCGCATGCAAAGCATCTCAGTCACGGACTCATTCACGAGGCTGATGTGAACGTACTGGAGGCCTTCAAACAGTTCGTTCAGTTGTGGTAGTCCACAACCAGTTTCACTGGCACGCTCCAAGCAGAGTTGATGCAATACGCCCTGTGTCAGCTTCATGTAAGACACATTTCAGGGCAGTCACTTCCCTATTGCGCCCCTCGAAAGATGCCCTTCTCAGAGTTCTTTTCGTTCTTGCGGGCCCTGGACCCTGCATGTCGCGCAACGTGGCGCAGCTGACGCCGAGACAATGCCAAGACAGCGGGCAGGCAGCTCGCAATGTTCGAGCGCGCGGGCGTGCGACAGTTCACCCGCACGACGTGAGCCTCGTCCAGCGCGCGCCCACAACTGCCGTTCGCTGTTGAGAAGCTCCGTTCAGGTTTACAGGCAAAACGCTGCGACGTTTGGTACTTAGTAATTAGGCTGTGTGTTGGGGCACGAAGGCTTTACAAGCCTTACGCTTTATGCGTTGCTGCCAGTTGGACCACTGTCCACGAACCATCACTCCTTTCTGCATTGACTGGAGCGCATTCATCTGTTGAAACCTTCCAGCAACGCGTAGGCGGTGGAAGACCAAGCCTTTTGCATGAGTTCAGCGTGGAGAATGCAAAAAACTATTGCACGTTACACAGTCACATTGGCTTTGCCAGGCATGGCGCGCCTGGTGGAGCATGTTCACACTGCTCTACGGTTACAGTGAGTTCAGCTTGTTGTCTGGGGCATTGGGATGATATTTCTGCATATTAAGTGTCTTTGTGGCTTGTACATCACAGAACCACACCAATTTTGTCATCAAGCTTAGCATTCAGTGTGTCCAAAACAAGTGGATGAAAAGTGCGTCTTCGTCGGTGTGTGTTGAGCTTGTTTTGGTTGGTGATGTTCCGCTCAAAGCATAAACCTCTGCCCGTAGTGCCGGATGCTGAGGAACCCCGCGCTTCTGCGCAGTTTTATGGGCATGCTCTGATGATTTTTCGTGCCTAATGTTTGCAAGCTTGCCGAGAGAGCTCATTAACACACATGCACGAGTCGCATCCAAACACTGCGGTGTTTGAGGATACAAGGTAGGTGCTTCACATGCGTAGCGAAGCATCAGATTTCTGCACCCTCGCTTTGTTTAGCTTGGAAGTGCCTTTGGAAGTAGTTTAGAGGAAGTAGTTTAGAGGTGGTTTGGAGGTAGGGGCAATCCCCATACGAAGTCTGGGCGCTATACTGCTCCTCGTGTGATTCCACGTAGACAGATCCAAGGGGCAAGGGCCTTTGCAGGCCCTGGCCCAAACAGTGAAGGCCTTCACAGGCCCAGGCCAAGGGCCTTTGCTGGTGAAGGCCTTCACAGCGCCAAGGGCCTTTGCAGGCCCTGGCCCAACACCAAGGCCTTTGCAGACCAAAGGCCTTCGCAACCCCAGGCCAAGAACCTTTGCACAAAGCTGGCTAAGGGCCTTCTCAGGCCCTGTTACTCTTTCACAGGCCCAGGCCCAAGGCCTTTGCTGGGCCGTGGCAGGCCCAAATTTCCTTGGTGGCATGTTGCGCTGCCAAGGGGCTGCGTCAGCTCCCCATGGCTTTCACAAAACTCCTTGGCTTTGGCCACCATTTTCCTTAAGAAGTCACGGGTGAAAGCACACGTGATTTGCAATAGGATTCAGTCGATATCGTTGTAAGGGTGGCGCTGGGCAGACGACGCACAGGAACACTCTCAAACACATGCCGAGCGTAAGGCTTGTGAACATGTCACAGCTACACTGAGTACTGAGTATGAGAACCAATCGTGACGTGGACCCTTGCACCTAGGTGGACGAGCGCATGCTTGCCGCAGTGGAGCGCCGCGCCAAAGACGCTGCCGCGGCAGTTGACGGCCGCCGCGCGACGGGGAGCGCCTAGAATGCTCTTGGAGTTGGGAGTGTCCGGCTGCGTATCGCGGTTTTGGCAGATGGCTCGCGCTTCTCCATTTTAACGTCACTCCTGATAAAGGTTTCCCCTTTTGCCTCCCAGATTCCCACCAGTACATTTTGAGAGCCCACAAGGTTTGCCCAAACCATCCTACCCAATCTTTTTTTGGGCCTTCCCAAACCCCCCCGATTGAAGGCGCCAACAAAAACACATGCTTTTCCTTTGCGCTTAGTGCGTTCTAGTCTGCACTTAAACCCGCCAATGCTAAGCCACCATTAAATGCTTGAAGTGCTCTTCGGCCTTCCTCGGAGGCCAGCTCCACCTCATCAACAGAAAGCCAACAACCATTTGAAGTTCTATTGCTTAGAGGGGGCCACGAAGGCAAGGACCAAAGTGACCGAAGAGCTTCTCCAGGTTCCTGTTTCCAGTTCGACTGGCTGGGCGGGGAGGCGGGTCCTCCGTTTTCCAGATGCTGTCGATTGACCTTGCCCCCGATGGTCTCACCTACTTGCAGGGCACCCTTGCTGAGTCTACACCGATGAAGCTTTGTATGTAGATCTAGCGTGATGCAGTTGCTGCAGCGGGTAAGGGTGGGGCAACTAAAAGTGAGTTGGGGGGGGGGGCCGGGAGGGGCGGGCCTTCTGAATCGCATGTTTCACGCAACCGTTTCCACAAAACCCTTGAGGGGCGTTGGCAGCGTTTGGCAAAACGGCGCGTGAAACTCGTCTTCAGACCCAGGCCTTGCGCCCAAGGCGGAGGCAGGCGTCGCGCTGGAGGCTGTCACAGGCTGGACGTCTGAGTTACGGGCGTGTTTCAGATGCCGGAATCCCCAAAAACGCTTCAAACATGGCTAGTCTGTTAGTCTGTTAGTCTGTTGGCTTCCCTTTGAATCAATTCCATTGAAGGGTACCTTCAAAAAACGACATGCGCAAAATGGCAAGGCTGACTCTCAAAGGCAATTCCACGTGCAATAGGATGGCAAAGCCAAGGCGCCCATGCCCGTTTCAAGGTTGAGCCTGGTTGAACATGGACGGCGCTGGTTCACTTTGCTTCTCATTGTTTCCCACGTCAAGCCATGTTTGCCAACGGCACAAGCTCAGAGGTCCGAAGTGGAGCCTTCAAAGCCCCGCCCTTTCGTGGGCGCACACATCCCCAGCCCCGGCAGGGAAGCGAAAGCCAGACGATGAGCTGGAACTCGTCGCGGCCAAACGCCCAGCCCGCCCATTCGCATGGGCGAAAAGTGACACACGTGCAGACCAGGTCTGGATGGGTGCTTCTTTCAATCTGGGGACACCTTATTCAAGGGAAACAAGGAAACCAAGCATCCACGCATCTTTAGGCACCCCAAAAAAACAAAAACCAAACACCTTGTTTGAGGCCACTGCTGGGGTCATTGAGCAGTGAAGATCAACCTGAAGTTGCATATTTACAGGTTGGCTATCCCTTACATATTATTCTGTAGTTTCTTCATCCTTATTTACACGCTGACGCGACACAGCCGGCCACCGGGCACCTTGCCCTTCCCGTTCTTTTATTTCCTTTTCCTTGAATTCCCGTTAACTTCCGGGACTTGAACTTTTTTGCTTCCTTTGCATGTCTTCCCTGCATGTCCGACAAATTCTGGCATTTCCCTTCACTTCCTTTTCCTTGAACGCCCCTTCATTCGCATTCCTTTCCCTGAGTTCATTGTAGTTCCCGCGACTTCAACCTCGCTTCACCATTTCTCTTCGTTTCCCATAATTTCACAGTTTCTTTTCGTTACCGTTCTCCGGTTCCCTTCGCGTTCTGCCCTTGCATTTTGCTCACTTCCAGTCACTCCTTTTTCTGCAATTTTCAGCCCCTTGTTTCGCATCGCCAGCATGCATACCATCATCCGCATCATCCGGGATGATGCTGGCAATGCTGCGGGCGTTGTCCAGTATTAGGCACCCCCTAAAAAGACTCGTTTTTGGGCGCTGCGTCCGCGCATGGTCGGCGGCATGGGGCGGACGGCCTTACACCTGAAGGTAAGCCCTGCGGGCTTGGCCTGCGGCCCGATCACGTCCGGTGGCCGGATTTACACGCTGACGCGACACAGCCGGCCACCGGGCACCTTGCCCTGCCCGTTCTGTCACTTCCCTTTCCTGTAAGTCCGATGAGTAGATGTTAAGATTTAAATTCTTACCGTTCTCCGGTTCCCTTCGCGTTCTGCCCTTGCATTTTGCTCACTTCCAGTCACTCCTTTTTCTGCAATTTTCAGCCCCTTGTTTCGCATCGCCAGCATGCATACCATCATCCGCATCATCCGGGATGATGCTGGCAATGCTGCGGGCGTTGTCCAGTATTAGGCACCCCCTAAAAAGACTCGTTTTTGGGCGCTGCGGGGAGATGCTACAAAAATCGCCTAAACCAATCCGCGAATCCTTCGCCCCTTATAAGAGCTGGCCCAGCGCAAAACGTATGCGCATGGTCCGCGCATGGTCGGCGGCATGGGGCGGACGGCCTTATACCTGAAGGTAAGCCCTGCGGGCTTGGCCTGCGGCCCGATCACGTCCGGTGGCCGGATTTACACGCTGACGCGACACAGCCGGCCACCGGGCACCTTGCCCTGCCCGTTCTGTTCTGTCACTTCCCTTTCCGGTAAGTCCGATGAGTAGATGTTAAGATTTAAAAATAAAAACTTTGAGCTTCTAAGTGTCTCAGATTTGAAGACTTTCGGAATTTAAGGTTTCAATGGTTTAAGAATTCAGGTTTTAAGATTCAAAGGTTTAAGGTTTTTGAAGGTTATAACAGGCAGGCCATTGCCCAGCCATTTTCCATCCATTATCAGATTTCGAAGGCTTTAAGATGTTATTTGTTGTGAGATTTTCAGATTGGGCGACTTTCGGAATTTAAGATTTTAAGATCTTAAGATGTCAAGACTTCAAAATTTCAAGATTAAGAGTTTAAGGAAATTAAAATATAGCCCGGATTGAAGGAATTTTATTATATTTTACTTGTTTATGAATTTAAGACTTTCAGATTGCAATAGTTCGAGATTTAAAGAATTTAAGTTTGGAAAGCTTTTCAGATTCTGAGATTTTAAGACTTTGAGAATTTAGGAATTTCATATTTTAAGATTTTAACATCTGAAGATTCAAAGACATGAGGGTTTTAAGAAGTCAAGATTCGATGACTTTAGGATGTTTATATTTTCAGGTTGTAAGATTCTAACTTCTAAGGTTGTAATTTTAAGATCGTAAGGTTTCAAGATTTCAAAATTTCAAGATTTCCAACTTTCAAGAGTAAGAGTTTAAGAGTAATAGTTTAAGACTGTAGGAATTCATATTTTAAGAGTTTAAGCAATCGCAAGAATTCTAAGACATAAGGGTGTTAAGATCTCAAGAGTCGAAGACTTTAGGATGTTTTTATATTTTCAGATTTTAAGATTCTAAGTTCTAAGATTTTAAGATCTTGAGATTCTAAGATTGATTGTTAGATTTTAATTGAGGATTTTAAGAATCTAAGACTCTAGGATTTTGAGATTTCAATCCAGGCCATTTTCCATCCATTTTCCATCCATTTTAAGATTTTCAGGGACATCCCCAGCATCCCCCGCATCACCGGCATCATCCGCATCAATGTCCGCCAAGGATGCGGATGATGCAGGTGATGCCGGGGATGTTGTACACTATGGGCACCCCCAAAAAAACACTTGTTTTTTGACTCCGCGGGGAGATGCTCAAAAAGCCGCCAAAAATCGACTGAACAAATCCGCAAATCCTTCGCCCCGTATAAGGGTGGGCCCAGCTTGGCGCAGCGCAAAAGTTCGGCACATGGTCGGCGGCATGGGGCGGACGGCCTTATACCTGAAGGTAGGCCCTGCGGGCCTGAGCCTTCGGCGATGTCACGGACCACGGGGTCAGGGGCCCCCGGTGGCCGGATTTACACGCTGACGCGACACAGCCGGCCACCGGGCACCTTGCCCTGCCCGTTCTGTCACTTCCCTTTCCTGTAAGTCCGATGAGTAGATGTTAAGATCTTAAAATTCTAAAAACTTTGAGATTCTAAGGGTCTCAGATTTGAAGACTTTCGAATTTAAGGTTTCAATGGTTGAAGAATTAAGGTTTTAAGATTCAAAGGTTTAAGGTTTTTGAAGGTTATAACAGCCAGGCCATTGCCCAGCCATTTTCCATCCAAGGCTTTAAGATTGTATTTTTTGTGAGATTTTCAGATTTGGCGACTTTCGGAATTTAAGATGTTAAGATCTTAAGATGTCAAGACTTCAAAATTTGAAGATTAAGAGGTTAAGGAATTTAGAATATTGCCCGGATTGAAGGAATTTTATTATATTTTACTTGTTTATGAATTTAAGATTTTCAGATTGCAATAGTTCGAGATTTAAAGAATTTAAGTTTTTGAAGCTTTTTAGATTCTGAGATTTTAAGATTTTGAGAATTTAGGAGTTTCATATTGTAAGATTTTAACATCTGAAGATTCAATGACATGAGGGTTTCTGTCACTTCCCTTTCCTGTAAGTCCGATGAGTAGATGTTAAGATTTCAAAATTATAAAAACTTTGAGATTCTAAGGGTCTCAGATTTGAAGACTTTCGGAATTTAAGGTTTCAATGGTTGTAAGATTCGAAGATTTAAGGCTTTTGAAGGTTATAACAGCCAAGCCATCGCCCAGCCATTTACCATCCATTATCAGATTTCGAAGGCTTGAAGATTCTATTTTTGTGAGATTTTCAGATTTGGCGACTTTCGGAATTTAAGATTTTAAGATCTTAAGATGTCAAGACTTCAAAATTTGAAGATTAAGAGTTTAAGGAATTTGGAATAATATAGCCCGTATTGAAGGAAATTTATTATATTTTACTTGTTTATGAATTTAAGATTTTCAGACTGCAATAGGTCGAAATTTCAATAATTTAAGTTTTTGAAGCTTTTAAGATTCTGAGATTTTAAGATTTTGAGAATTTAGGAATTTCATATTTTAAGATTTTAACATCTGCAGATTCAAACACATGAGGGTTTCTGTCACTTCCCTTTCCTGTAAGTCCGATGAGTAGATGTTAAGATTTCAAAATTCTAAAAACTTTGAGATTCTAAGGGTCTCAAATTTGAAGACTTTCAGAATTTAAGGTTTCAATGGTTTAAGAATTGAGGTTCTAAGATTTCATATTTTAAGAGTTTAAGATCTCAAGATTCTAAGACATAAGGTTTTTAAGATTTCAAGATTCGAAGACTTTAGGAAGTTTTTATATTTTTAGATTTTAAGATTCTAAGTTCTAAGACTTTAAGATCTTGAGATTCTAAGATTGATTGTTAGATTTTAATTTAAGATTTTAAGAATCTAAGACTTTAGGATTTTGAGATTTCAATCCAGGCCATTTTCCATCCATTTCCATCCACTTTAGATTTTCAGGTTGCACGTTTTCGGCAAAATTGGCACGACTTAGGGGACACCATCACCAGCATCCCCGCATCGCCAGCATGCATAACATCATCAGCATCATCCGGGATGATGCTGGCAATGCTGGGGGTGTTGTCCAGTATTAGGCACCTCCTAAAAACGCTCGTTTTTGGACGCCGCGGGGAGATGCTACAAAAATCGCCGAAACCAATCCGCAAATCCTTCGCCCCTTATAAGGGCGGGCCCAGCGCAAAACCTACCTTCAGTTGGCGGCATGGGGCGCGCGGCCTTATACCTGAAGGTAAGCCCTAACGGGCTTTGGCCTGCGGCCCGATCACGTCCGGTGGCCGGATTTACACGCTGACGCGACACAGCCGGCCACCGGGCACCTTGCCCTGCCCGTTCTGTCACGTCCCTTTCCTGTAAGTCCGATGAGTAGATGTAAGGGTCTCAGATTTGAAGACTTTCGGAATTTAAGGTTTTAATGGTTGAAGAATTAAGGTTTGAAGATTCAAAGATTTAAGGCTTTTGAAGGTTATAACAGCCAGGCCATTGCCCAGCCATTTTCCATCCAAGGCTTTAAGATTGTATTTTGTGTGAGATTTTCAGATTTGGCGACTTTCGGAATTTAAGATTTTAAGATCGTAAGATGTTAAGACTGCAAAATTTGAAGATTAAGAGGTTAAGGAATTTAGAATATTGCCCGGGTTGAAGGAATTTTATTATATTTTACTTGTTTATGAATTTAAGATTTTCAGATTGCAATAGTTCGAGATTTAAAGAATTTAAGTTTTTGAAGCTTTTAA